TTGTAATAACTAAATACTAATCGTGTATTTTATCTTATCAAGTATCTGTTGATGTACGTAAGTTTGTATCAGGGGGACACAAGTACGGTGCTCAAAAGAGTTAACAAGTTATAATTACATTTACAAAAATTAGCTTGAAAGTGTAAGACCACAGACAATTTCAAGGGTTACCCTAGTAATTTCACTGTAATGGTACGATCAGTGGGTTCGATTATGTATTTCAGCGAGGGCACTGCAGCGCCTATGAATTTCTTAGTTTTAGAGTCATGATTTTATTTAAAACGAAAAGAAGTAAGTATTGGTTAGTAGTAAACTATTGCAATCCTATTCTGAGAAACAGAATGATTTGTTTTTGTTGACTGTACATCGAGCGACGATCATTTCGAAGGCGAACACTGCGTGATTCTGCCTTGATACTCTCAATCTGCTTCTCAATATACATACACATAATGTATGAATAGGTGATAATTATATACTATTCTTATGATTACAAATATCTTATAGATAACATGACGTTTCACATTATTTACAAATTCAATCTTAAATTCCTTTATTACAAGACAATGGGTGTTGATAGTTGGCTCATATTTTCGCAGTTTTTGATGCCACAGTCATAAACAGTCATAAAAATATTGATTCCATGTTTAAAATCCCATGGCCAATGTTCGGTGCGTACAGTTTGAAATAAAGCGGGGTAGGCAGTGTAGGGTGACAAGCGAAGCGAGATAAGCATCGTAGCTACACGTGCGCCCCCCTCGTCCCTCAGCACCCCGCATCTACCCCGCGCGGGACACGCAATTTTTATACGTTATCTTTCATTATTGTTATTACGCGTTATGATTTTAAAAGGTTTTATTGTATTTTAAATGTTTAAGTTAACTTCAAAAACTGATTTGATTATTGTTCGTCTTGTAAGTTAAAACCTATAATGATGATATTAGTTATTAAAAAAAACTCCTTTTCCAGAGTATACTCTACATTTTTTTCTAGAAGAGTAGAAAAGAGTTTACACACATTTTCTAAACGTAAAATTTTACGAAATTTTCACTTGTGATAAAAATTAAAGAGTTTGTAATTACTTTATAACTAAAATAAAATAAAATCCTCAATTCAAGTACATTTTAAGTACAGCAAAATATGAATAGGCGGAGCAATATTGCACAATATTCGTAATCCTGAGATAATCTTCGTATTGTGCCCGCGTGCCGGCCGCCCGCCGCGATCGTGAGCCATGTTTATTGGATTCGAACCTTGTAATTAACTCATTCTAAATATATCGTGAGATATTGAGACTTACGTATTACTTTTATTGAATATTTCTATTATCCTATATTAACCTAATTATGAATTAAAATATAATTTTACTAAATAAGTAACCACTACAAAATAAATGAATTAATTAATACTATATTAAATAAACTATGTACTAAAACTAAACCAAACTAAAAATAAAACTAAATAATATAAAAAATCTTACGAATTGTTATTATGTGTTTATGTAATTAATTTTTGAATATCCCAGCACTATATGTTTTATTGTACTTATAACTTATTATACTAATTTTTGACCGTGGTTTGACATGCTTTCGTTTTGCAAATATAAAAAAGATCCGTGATACAACCTGAAACTGAATGAATCATAATTAATTTTGGTGAAAATGTGTAATTTGGTCCAACCTTAAAGATAGGATAACTTATATCATAACAACATTGACAAGAATATTTGTTATTGAAAATTAAAATGCGTCAATTTGTATATTCGTCAGAATAAAATAAGTTGGTTAGATAGAAGGCAGTACAAGTTTGTATCCGTGCGAAGTTGGGGCGAGGAGATAGTTGGTTTAAAAAATAAACATTTTATTGGCCCCGAAGCTACTTATGGCGAGTGACAGAAACAAACAATAGCAATGACAAGACAATCGCTACAATTGTATCTATTTATTTGCTAACAATTGCACTCAATATGAATGTAAGCCTTAAATCCAACGAATTGTGGTATTAATTTCCCTCCAACACTTCTTACTTTTAAGTAACATACATAAAACCACAACACAAAGTAATAACAACCTTATTTCTTTGTAACACAGTCTAATATGGTTAGTAACTTTTTATTAAATCTTACTTGACTTTTCTGCAACCAAACATGAACTCTACATACTTATTTTTAAAGTTAAATTTTGTTTGTATGTAGTGAGATAGGGTAAACGTAACTATATGTGACCACATGCATGCCACGTGTCCGCCACGCGTCATCTCCGATAATCTTCTTTCCACGTCTCCTTTGTTACAATTTGTGCTGCACATCCCCTTGCGCTGTGAGATCGCCGATACTGATATGATGTTTAATGATATTTTAAATCAGTGCTCTGAACAAGATATTTATTTAGTTGTTTTACTTCGGGATTACTTTCAACTTTTCAACTACATAATATAAAGGAATTATCAGTCAGTGCCGACAAAGTTCAATCAAATAGCGGATAGTTTGACTTAAAGTGAAGTGCGATAACAAATAACCGAAAGTCGTGTTACATCCAAGATAAGTTTATTTTGTTTGTTTATTTATAGCTTTGGTTACGAATTCAATTATGGATGTTAAAAATTTTAATACGATTTACTATTTTTAAAAAGGATTAATGTCAGTTCGTTATTAAGATTTGCAAAATACTCAAACACAATAAGAAACCATTCCAATTTAAGTGTTTTAATCGAGGTTTTGTTATTGTAAAATGTAGTAATAGCTTAACATGGATATTCTTAAAATACATTTTATGTGTAAATAATTATGTACTTATTAATTTTTTTATGTATTTTTTATTATTCAAGAGTATTTACCGAAAAAAAAATACTATAAATTGCTAAAATAAATATACTTTGGGCAACGCGTTTCTCGCCCTTTCTGTTAAAAAATCGACAACTGTCATGACAAGAAAATATCGCGTAATAATAAAATAAAGTTGTCAACCCCAGTTAAAGTGTCGAAGGGAGCGTGCTAAATGCATTAATTTGGCCTGGATTTAGTGGTCCGGAAGTGATTTGCTACGGGAACGCATGCCATGCACCGATATGACCCCACTATCTCACAACAATTGACCCCCTTACCTCGCATTTTTCACGATAATTGAAACTAAACTGTATTTTTATCACATAAAGGACAAAAATTCAATAACAAAAGGAATCGTTAAGGGTGACTTAACGGAGTTTAGCTTTGTTAGTGCCGCTTTAGTCAAGGGTTGTTACAGTAAAGCTTATCAGCTTTGGATGTACTTGTTATTCATTAGGCCTCTACTTATGTTGAAATTAACGAAAAAAATCTTTTATTTTAAAATCAAACTGAAAAGCCATATAAAAAGTAAAGAGAAAAAGTTTCGCGTCTTTAAAAATAAAAAAGACTTTTTCTTTTTTTAAACAATTTTATGGCAATATCACCACACCAGTACAGTCTCTTTATTAACGAATAGAAGGCATACACAAGTATTAACTTTTATTAATATCAATTAATCTTTTGGTACGACATTTATTAATGTATTTAGGTGGCTTGAATGTGTCACTGATGTCTTCATGTCAAAATAAGCCAGACACGGAGCCCACACATTCTCCATAAATATTAATTTTCTTACCGAGTAACGAAATCATACGTCGATGTCGATGAGGCACGCACCGAGCGATCGCGACGTTAATATATTCAACGCTTAAGAACCCTCATAAATAATATACACACGTATATATATTTATGTATCGATACTCAATAAATACGAGACGTAACCGCCCCACATAAAGCACCTGTCTATACGCGCCTACCTTAAACCTCCCTTGAAGGCTCCCTCTGATAACTTAAAGACTTTATCCCCTGTACAGGAATTTTTACGGCAACAAAAGCTTTCATATTTTCTTTATTCATACCGTGTCAAAATCGCCTCTTCCCCTCACCACCCTTCAGACGTTGGGAAAAGAGATAGCCGCCCAACTCTTTCGCACTTATTATAATTTCATAATACCGTCTCGTTCTTTACCCTCCATTTCGGTTTTATGTTTTTCTCGATATTCTCGGTGGAGAGTACTTAGTACAGTTTTTTTCGTCAAACCGTCAGCAACAGGGTGATTGTGCGAATTTCTTAATTAATTTATGTTAAGTATTTCGCGAGGGGTGACATCCGAAAGGGTGTTTAAGAATTTTTTTGCGATTCGAGATGCATAATGAGCGAGCTGTGCTTTCGTTATGTTCTGTAATTTAGTATTTTGCGCATCATAACCTTTAAGGACTCTTACATTTGGCAGTAAAAAGTTTGTTTATAAAACATGAATTATTAAAAAGAAAAGTTTGCACTGAAAGGAGGTTTTATTTATAAAGTTTTTATTTGAATAGTGTTGCCACATGTATCAAATAAGAAATACAGACATTCTTATTATCGCATCAGCTTTTATGTCCGTATAGCGTACGATATCGGATCCGTCTAAAGGATGTTCCAATAGGTAGCGGCTTCGTATTCAAAAAAGGAAAAAAGATGAAGAAAAAAGTTATAACGTCATATTGTTTTGCCACGAAGCGTAGGGGGAGGGGAGGGGGAAACAAAAAGGGGAGTCCTGTATAATGCCGGGGAAGATAAGGCGTTATAGCATCCTGTATATAGCCTCACTATAGGTATGGCTGCACCATTGTACTTTACGAGTCGCCCTTTCGTATTTTTCATACTTTAGAATGGCGTCTTGGTAAAACGACGGTACATATTTCATCGGATTTATTTTTGCGTCTGGAATGTTTATAAAAAATTCGTATCTACTTTAAAAAAACAGTTTTTTAAACTAAAAAAGTCTACCCTTGTAGTCTACCTAAGTAGAAATAAAAATAAAATAAAACGACAATTAAATTAATTTGAACACAATCTCAGTTAAAAACGACTGAACGTCGAACCATCCAGGAATCATCAATCAATAGTCCAGAGCGTATTTCCATTGCCATACGAGCATAATGTATTTTAATAATATCATAAAATAATACTTACACTTGGTATGTTGTCAGAAGTACAAACTCCTTCGCTGAGCAGACGGTCCCTGATCTCCCAGGCGAAGATCGAAGGACACTCGCGCTTGTACTGGGCGATCTTACTGACCACTTCCGCGGTAGCTACTCGCGGCTTCGAGCCGCCTATCGCACGAGGCCTAATTGACCCCGTCTCGTAATACCTGCGAAAAGAGTTACTTTTAGAAATTTGTATACAGACTAGCTATTGCGCGCGATTTTGAATATTTAAAAAAAGAAGTAAGTTCATCCGTTTTCGTGTTACCTGTATACATCCATCTTAACTTTCTCATTTATAATATTGGTAAGAAAGTAAGAATGGGAATACTAAGATTATTGAGGACTGACTCTGTTGTTACGTTAATACGATTTTTTTAGATTTATGTTTGTAACCAGATAACTCCAAAAGGCTTTAATATATCTAGATGCAAATTGAGACCAAAAACATATAATTGTCTGGTGTATGGCACAGGTTGAATTTAACACCTTAAAAATGTATGATTACTAATAGATTTGTTTTATTCGTGTTAGAATAGAAGTTAATCCTGAGTTTTAATTCCACGCCAACGAATTGTGAACCTCAGCTATTATTTAATATTAATTATTGATTAATAGTGTGTTAGGAAAGCGATAGGTTGGCACAGGTAATAGCGTTGTCAGGGGTAGTGCGGTATCGGGTTACGACCGGGACGTATCAGGTTCAATGCCGGGATCCACTTCGTGTTATCGACCAGCTGTCGTCAAATAATATAGCCAAGGAGGTAATTAAAAAATAATTTAATTTAATATTCATTGTAACACAAACGAGCTTTTCTATTGAGGTCAAGAAACAGAAACTAAAACAATTGAATAAAAACAAAATGGTATTATTGTTATTTAAGGTAATATTAAAGTAAAATATGTTTTGTAAAGGGATTTGGATAACGTAAACTCATTTAATATTTGACACACTATTTCTTTACAAGGACGGGCTATAAGCGGGGGTATTTTGTGCCTAATTGGTTCCAGTTGGTAGCGGTATAGTGAAGATTCGAACTGCCAGGAATGATATTCCTGAAGGCATGGTTAAGTCGCAACGAAGTAAAAGTTGTAATTTCCAAATGATATATCCATGAATAGAGGACAGTAGTTTGTAATTTTTTACTGGATATAGAAATTTAAATATGACAGATTTCGATCATCGAGGTGTTTGGCAGCTCAGGTAAACTGGTCTGCTGTAGTCTAAACCAGAAGTCACTATTCAAATGAAGGATTCAATTACTAAACGACCAATAAATCCGATACATTCGAACCACAGACGTACGAAACAAAAGTACATCGACAGGCCATACGTCACTACAAAAATAGATTCCGCTCGAATTTCACGCTTGTCAATTAAAACCTTCATAGTCAAGGTCTACTAAAATAACTAGATCTCAATACAGATGGTATTCTAGTATTTCTAGAGGTCTTTATAAGTTGGTCGTCTGTTGCATCGTACGTGGTGTTTTCCTATAACGTGCGGTCGGTTACTATAATTCTGTGGTTACAACCAGTTAGACACCGGTGTACTATTCCAACTGCATTTTTTAGATATTTTAAGTATAATGTTGCCAACAGAGAGCGATGTAGATAATTATTTTGCGGTCGTCATTTTTATATCTATCGAAATTGACTAATTAAATTTCTGGAAACCTCGAATAAATAAGAGACAGGTGGATAGTATATTCTAATTAGATTAACTAAAAGATTGAAGAAAATATAATTAAACTATTTATAAATAATGTCATATAATAAATGTCAATAATGGTAGACCGGAGGAAAAATTTGAATAGTAATCCTCTTAGGAATGGATCAAACGAGCGTTAATTTTAAAAAATTTATAAACCTAACTGACTTCACGCGTGTGACAACTGCATTACAGAATACGGATGCAATGATATCTCACTTTCTAAAATGGTCAAGACGTCTGGATTAAAAGAACTTGACGATAAGGCTACTGGTGGTATAAGTCAAGTTCCTTAGATTGTAGGATGTAGATTTATCTAGGCGGAGTCGGATAGAGGTATGGCTACTATGAACTGATTCTTTCAATAAACTGACCTTCCGAGTATCTTCGAGACGCATCCATTGGAGACCTGCAGGATGCGGCTGATGTCGCAGGGACGCGCGCCTGAGTGCGCCAGCTCGACAATCTTCTGCCGCGTGGAGTCGGGCAACGGTCTCCCTCCTACAAACACCCCGCCGAGCTGGTTAACACCGCTGTGACCTGTCGCACCACAATCCTGCTTACTCCAATTAATCACCATCTCTCATATGTTCATGTATGGACTGTAAATGCAACAGGTTGTGTTACACAGGTCTTCATAATGGTGTTAGAACATTTTGCATTGAAATAATGTTAAAATATGATTTGGTCGTTTCATGCAGACGCAATACTAATATTTATAACTATGAGATATTAAGTGAACGTCACTCACGAAACGGCCAAGACATATTTTTAGGTTAAATGACATATCAAACTCTTGTTAATGATTTTTTGCACATAGCTTGGTTAATTTTGTACTTCTCAAACAAACTTTGGTTCGATCTTTTAAATGATGCCTCGTGTAGTAGGTAGTAGAACAAAATGGTGGTCACCATTACCTTTACCTTTGTGGGCGAGGTCATCCATGCGGTCGAGCAGGTTGGCGTCGGGAGGCCAGGGGCTGATGGGCGCGAGCTGCTGCGCAGGCAGCATCGTGTACACCCCGTACTCTTCTATTGTGACAACCTGACAATATTGTTCAACATAAGTATACCTCTGTTGTGCCAACATGAGAATATTGTACTTCATAAGTACTCCCTTGTTGTGCCAACCTGACAACATTGTATAGCATATGATATACTCACTGGCAGCAGTATTTCCAAACAGTTACAATTAAGAACCTTACAAGAAAAGAGAGGAGGTACATTAATTAAGGTTTGCAACGCATTTGTAGTTTCGGGTGTTGTTCCAGATATTATTTGCGTCGCATAATTAAAAAAACTTAACAACATTGTACGACATCTTTTTTTTTTAAAAGAGAAGGGGCAAACGAGCGGCAGGAACACCGAGGTGATCAATGACACCCATGGACATCTGCAACAGACAGACCGTTCCACAACGCGGCTGTGCGAGGCAAGAAATTGCGCGAGAATCGCACCGTTGAGGAATGCCAGCCATCCAGGTGGTGTGGATGGAACGTGGCGGTCTGTCGTGTCGTCCGATGACGGAACTCTGCGGCAGGAGTCGTTCCAAACAGTTCTTCGGAACACTCCCCATGGTAAATACTTCTTCTTAACCTGATATTACACTGTATTAAAGAAATGTTTCGACCGTGAAAACCCGTAGAAATAAAGTGCTGGAGACAATAGTTTCGAATGCAATAACCAACAAAAAATATTTTATAGAAGGAAAACTCATGGGTTCAAGAAAATAAGTTACCATTAATCATGCTGAACTATTTGCCTTAATTAATTATCATGATAGTTACCTTTCATTCATCAATTAAGTTGAATTAAAACTATTGTTGAATTTAAGACGTTAAAATTGATTTTATTTTTTTGTTTAATTTAAATAAATGGTAATTTAAATTTTATTATAGTAAATAAAAAAGCCACCCGATATAAACCGACATGTTCTTTTTAAACACTTCTCTCGAGTGTTTGTCAAACACGGAGAGTTGTCGGCCGACGCTCTTACGTGACACTTCACGTTTTTTACTTGGCACTTGAACACGTTGTTACGGTTACGAAAAACTTTTTCTGAACGTAGAAATTGTATAAGAGAGTTGCAATAAGTATTTGTGAAGATTATTCTTGGCAAGTATAAGACCGTGTGTAAACAAGGCAACTTAAATCTTCGCAATCGTTGATTTTAGTCGCTAAACCATTGCGATTCCATAGCGCCTCATAGATAGCGCGCGTCGACGACTTTTCTATCTGTCATCAACTTGTTTGTTATGATCAAGATCTTGAAAAAAGTCGTTGCAACTTTCAAGATGGCAGAGCAAATCTCTAACGTTGACATGTTGACATCGCCTGTACTGACTATTCGCGTCGACAATTCAACATTAAGAGTACTAAGCGAGCACACCGCGATTCTCGCGACGCAACCACGCAATATTAGTGTGTGATTTCACTACCAAAACGGCAGTACAAACATTTATTGGGATTTCACAAAGAATAATTCAGGAGTTTATGCAGTGGACACCAATGGTAATTGTTAAAAAAAAAAGGTTTTTTTTGGTACATTAATTTCTGTTGAGCTTGGTATTCGTAACAATTGGAAATGTTTATAATCGATGCCCAATCACAAAATTGTTAATAATTAAATCTCATGCAAGCATTCAAGCACGGATTTTAATCAGTTACATGCGTACTAAAGTTTTGAGGTTATGTAGTTTATAAAATGATTTACTTTTGTTTGATTAATCATTGGATTTCGCTTTTCTGTACGTTACATTTTTTCTACGTATTCATTCTAGTACAAAGGGTTTTGGCCATTTCCACAGAGCCAAATGTTTCTTACGAATTAATTTCTAAACTTTATTCAAAATACAAAGAGGCAGTTGAAGATGGTATGTAATTTTTATTCGAATTCCGACTTTTAAAATTCATTTTTAGTTTTTAAAAAAACCTAACTTCAGACTTTAGTGATTGAAGTTCTTTTTCACATATTTTTTTATCCTTACGTGATATAATTGAAGATGAAATTTTCTTAGTCACTTGGACGCTATGTTGTTTTTACATAGCAAAATGATAAAAATGTACGTTAAACATGATCGTATTTAAATTATTCGTATGATAAATATACTGAATTGATTATATTTAATTAAATTAATTCAGTCTTTCCAAGCATCATTAAGCTGTGATTGATGAACACAAAAACAATCGTGTTAACAATGTCATTAACAAAACATCGACTATGTAACAGATTATAAACATGGTATGATAAAGTATTTAGTAAATAGCTGTCGCCCGCGACTCCATCCACATCACATCCATTTAAACATTCACGTTTATAATTTTAGTAAGTTAAATAAAAAGAAGCATTTTCAAGGCATAAATTGGAAAAAATAAAAAAAAATGAATAAATAGTATCCTATGTCCGTTTTCTGACTCTAAGCTACCTCCTCGCCAATTTTCAGCCATATCGGTAAAGCCGTTCTTGAGTTATAAATAGTGTAACTATACTTTCTTTTATATATATAGATTAATAAAAATTTAAGACACGCCAAATTCGCAGAGTATACCGGCGGATAATAAAAATCTATTTGTTTTAAACATATTTTTTTTACTTTTTATTCAGTGACATATTTCCTTTTACAGACACAATTATTTCGACTCGTCGGCTATTCACTCAAAACCGTCATTATAAAATTCACGTGAAAAAGTTGAAACAAGTAAACGGATTTAAAAGACACAATCTAATGATCAAAGAGGAAGTTAAAAGTGAAAAGAACCCTTTGATTTATATCAACAATCCTGTAGAATCAAAGTTTCCGAACGCGTATCTAACTTTAGAAGAATTTAAACAAGCCCTTACAAATCGTATTCTACCACAAAGAGTAACAACTAAAAAATTACATCTACGAATGCGTAATTATTTAAAAACAAAAAAATTTAATTCAAATAAATATTCAAAAATGATTACAACAAAACCAAGAAATAATATAACCTCAAAATCAATTTTTATTACAAAATTGTCTTCAAACGTTACTTTAGAAAATATAACCACAACTAATCTGAATGTCACAAATTATACCTCAAATAGTGTTCTAACATTTCCTACGAATATTGAGAGTAACCGTGAAACTTTCAAAGATGAAATATTGACAACAGAATCATCTAAAATTTATACAGATAAAATAACAGATGCTACAACCAAAATCAAAGAAAATATTGAAACTTTAACAGTATCGCAAGAAAACTTTGAAATTCCTACAACCGAAGATTATCTTAAAACCGATTTTCCAACTGAAATTTCAGATTTTACAACAGTTAGTGTTAACATTAATACTAAATCATTGAATATCGCACAAACATTTGAAACAGTACCTCCTAAAAACCACACAGAAGTAACTACAAAAGTCACTGTAATTAACGAAAATGATATAACAAAAAATATGGCTACCGCCCCAAGTTATGTGTATACAGAAGACGTAACTCAAGAAGAAAACAAAGAAGTGACAACAGAATTTATCACAGAAATAGAGGAAACTAGAGATGATACAGAAATTTCAACCGAAACGATAAAAGACACAACTTTAATTACTACGAAGATTACAAGACGAACTTTAGGGGTAAGTGATTACTCTTTAGGGGTAAGTGATTACTCTTTACTCTGAGTGCGGTTCAAAAAATAATCTGACGAAAATAGAGTCAGTTATTTTTAAAGTATAAATTTATTTAATAAGTCCAGTCTCTTTCTTTTAATTAATATAATTATTTTATTTCAGAGACCACTTGTTTTTATGGGAGGTAATTAATCTGCAGTATCTAAAAAAAAGTTACGTATCTTTAATTGAAAATTGAAATAACTATAGATATAAAAAAGTTTGCCACAACAAAAAACTATCATTATACGTATGATATAATAAAACATTTAGAAAGTATATGTTTTTTTTTTGTTTTTATAATTTATTTCATTTTAAAACCTTACCTTACGTCACTGTAATAATTCTAAAAATCCAAGTTAATGCAAAAGCAATAACTTTTCTTCAACTTACAGCATGCATAACTTTTTAAACTTTTTAACGGATATAAAACTTTGCGTAGTTCAAAGGTTAATCCTTATTTAGTTTAATTTTTCAAAGACAATTTAAAAAAAACACATCAATCGGTTTGTTCCCGCCAAACTATACGTCAAACTGTCAAACTCGCGTACATTGTGACCTGTGTTCCAGAATAAAGGCGCGACTACACTGATTACAAAACACAATCTCACGTGGAACTATGACTCTACCGTGAATTTAGGATTCTCAAGGGCTGATATTACGATAGCTCCATTCGATGTGCTAGAGTGAGATAGTATTACTGTCGGCAACCCCTTGTAAAGCTGTTTATTGCTTTAGAATTGCTCTTTGTGAGAAAGAGATGTTTAGATTTTTATAAGTTTCTCATATGATGGTAAGCTCCTCCCATTTGTCTTTATACCGATGGTGGGGCGAAGTTGGACAGTTTTAAATTATCTATTATAATAAAATTATTTCTCGAAATAAGGGGTTGGTTTTGATAATGATGCGTTTCATTTATGTCGATTTGTTTAAGTGTAGAAGCCAGAATATTACGATTTATATTAAAATCATGTAGATATTCGCCTCTTTGGAATTTGATTGGTTTGATTTATAAATGAATATGTTCTATTATGTTAATGAAATGTTATTTTAATTTAGATGATTAATAAATTTATTTAGCTTTTATCATTTTATATGAACTTTTATTATGTAATGCTGGAAAATGATAAAACCATATTGTTATGTTCCTGTCATTCTTGTTTATATTTTGACAATAAATATAATGAAATATTTAAATTACTTTAATTTATTTTTAATTATAAATTAATCATATTTTTGTAATTAAATTTCTAAACCATTGCTTTTTTGGTTACAAAAACTTAACTAATTTATATATTTTAAAAAGTTTATAATATTTTTTGGAATATGTAACACGAGCCTCTTTGATTAGGTGGTCTCTTTCTCGCAACTGAAAAAGGATGTATTTTCCGTCTCACATCATTGCTTACTATTCACATTACCGTTAACCAACGACTATTGAACAAACCAATTTATACTTTATTCCTATTGTTTTAAGGGTAAAATTCATTTAATGAAAAACGAAAGCCTTCTGTCAACATTTGTGGTCGAATTTTGGTTTATCTCCCCCGCATAAAGTGTTTAGTTCCACAAACATTATTTTTGACCAATAGCGCTCGCCCGTGGGCCATTTTAAGCCAATAATGCTTGCGTATTTGCGGCTTGGTTTTCGCAGTTCTCTATTTAAAATTTCTTTTGTTTTTCTTTGAACTTGCCAGGTCCCCTTTTATAATGCGCCAGTTTGTTTTGTCTGGGACTTTTTTTATTCGTTAAATGGAGCTAACGCCTTTTCTTTCTTTAATACTCCTTTTAATTATAATATAAATATTACATTAATATATAATATATGGAAAAAAGCGAACTCAAGGCTTATTTATACTTCCTTTTATTGATACGGTATTCAGGTTATTAATAGAGCAAAAAAGCTATGATTAGAACCTTCTTAACGATTATGGTAGAAAAGATTAAAAATTGTAACAAAAACTCTCTGCCATCATTCAACTATGTTAGATTTTTTTTTATATCATAAGGAGGCAAACGAGCGAGCGACCACATGAAATCGCCGAAATAGCGAAGTGACCGTTGCCCACAGACATCCGCAATTGCATATGCGTTGCCTAACCTTAATCGACGGAGGGGCGGATGCACAGAAAGTAAACATTTCCATGCATCCTCTCATCCGGAAAGTCCATTTCCACTTCCCATCCTTATAAGAAAAAGTGAAGGAAGGGAAAGAGGACTAAATTAGGCCTCCGGGACGCACACTCATCAGACGAAACGCGGAATTTCTTCCACTTCACGCCTGTCTTCTGTGTGGTCGTGGTATTTCACCGGGCGAGCCGGGCCAATTCGTGCGAAGATGTTAAAGCGGGCTCTACCACTGTTAAATTGTAGATGTCGTTATCGTCTTTAAAACCATAATATAATTATGTTATTCAAAGAGTTATTCCGTTACTTTTACTTTTAAAGTATTATCGTGTAAGGGTTTACTTGTTCAATCTATTGGGTAATTTGTTTACTTAGCTTGGGGCTCGCTAAGTATAGATGTGACTTTTTATAAGTATTTTTTTTTAATTATTGGATGTCATTGAGTTGGCTTTATTAAGATTTATTTTATCCCTACACGATAGAAAGTAACCCATCATAATTTAAAATATATAATTCATTGTCGTTCGATACTGTATGAAATAGTTGAAGTTTGGTAATTTTTTTTAAAAATAAAAACAAAATATTTTGTCATAAATTTTCTACTGTTAATAGCCAAATTTCGGTGGCTCAGTGGTCAAGCACTTGACTTGCAATCTGCAGGTTCTGCGTTCGAATCCCGCCATGTACCAATGTATTTTTCGATTTCCGATTTCCATATGTACATTTATCCGACGTTCTCACGGTGAAGGAAAGCATCGTGATGCAACCTGCCAGCGTGGTTGACTATGGCCTAATCACCCTTAACTTAGGGTAGGGTCCGAGTCCCTCGGTGAGGACGTATAGTGAGCTGATGATGATGATAGCAAAAAGTTTCTTATATATTATTTTAATATAATTATCTATTTTAGGCATATTAAATACTCTGCGAAGAAAATTTTAAAATGTTAGTTTAAATTAAAGTTAAAGTAATATTAATCCTTCTCCATATTATGTTATCCAGATTACACACCACTTAACTCAGTGAGTCGCAAACGTTCGATAGAAGTTCACAGTTCTTTCGTGGTTTGCCACTCTACGTGCACTCAGATTCAGATTTAACTCTGAATTACACACTTTAACATAAATGTCTTTACACATAGAAATAAAAAAAAAACAATAAGATAATAAGTTCCTTATTCAACTTATCAATATATAATATTTATTGAACATCAAAATATAGCACGTAAGAAACGGTGTTACAAGATTTTTTTATCACATCGGTGGTAGAGCATAAAATACTTAGCACGTTCAGTGTCAATATGATTTTATTAAGTGTAGGTATTTTCTTGTAAGGAAATTATGTGACGGGAAAGTAGATTAGGTGGGGGACCCGCTGTGTGTTCCATTCTGTTTCGATTAAACGTAGTTAAACGCTTCTGCAATTGCAGATGTTTATGGACAGCGGTTACGTCTTAGGCGGACTACTTCGATTTGAGATAGCCGCTTGCTCGTTTGCCAATGTATTAATTAATATATTAAAACTATGAACTATTTAAAATACATCTTACTTCTTACTAATATTATAAATGTTTGGATGATGGGAGATATCTCCGGAACGGCTGAACGGATTTTGATGAAATTTGGTACACATGTAGAACATAGTCTGATTATAAACACAGGCTTGTTATGTTTGTTTTATTCCACGCGGACAGAGTCGCAGGGGACAGCTAGTTTAATATAATTACATTAATTTATTCCTAACATCCCATACCGTAGTAGATCGTTTCATAAAGATAATAAAATAATTATAGTACAATTTGCAAAACAATGTTACATCGCACACAATGTGACTGTGGTTTTGACAGACGTGAATCTTTTTATATTTGTCTCTCTTTTTTGCAAAGAAAATGATAGAGATGTCAATATTTCGATGCAATTGTTACGGCAGTCGGAACGCGCATTAACGTTAGTCGAAATGCAAGTAATGCAGTCATTGGGTGAACTTCCTTCTACATAATGAACTCACGCGGAAATATTGCGTTAAAACAAACGATGGTAATTTGGTGTGTGCGAATTTAATTACACATTCTATTATACTTCTTTACAGTGGGCTTTCACTGAAACATTGATACAGAAACAATATTGTTATCCTTCTTTTTTTAACGATAAAGAACGGGATGAGAATAGGTATTTTATATTGATGTCTGTGCAAAGGAAACTTACGGTAACACTATTCTCATGATTCAAATTCATTGAAATAGTTTTATCTAATCTATGATAATTTTAATGCAATTGTTTTTTTTTTATTTGAACAGAACTGTGTAATGTACACTAAAATTATGTTAGAATTCTCGTGTCCAAGATTTACTTTGTTAAAGTTTATTTATTTATTTAAAAACTGCATAGCATCCTTACAGTATACAACCAATTTGACACTATACACACTTTACATAACAGTTTACACGATAACATATTTTATAATAACAGTAAATAACATATGACAATGATAAATAAAAAGAAAAAAAAATACATATAATACAGTGCAAGAATATATAAACGCGTAACTAAATATCAATATTCAAACATTAAGTTGAATTGATTAAATATAATACTAGCGATATCCCATGACACCGACCACGCGGAATAAAAAAACAAAAAACTTAAGAATTACCCTATGTTCTTCCAGGCTCTTCTACATGTATCCCTTTCATCAAAATCTGTTGAGTCATTTCGGAGACACATTCAAATTAATGTCCATCCATCTAAACCTTCGCATTTATAATATTAGTAAACTTAGATTTCAATTAAATATTGCACACTGTTCTCATTGTTAGGTTAGGTTAGGTAAAAAATAATTATAAACAGTTAAATACCCCTTCGAGCGTTAATTAGGTATTATTATTATAAATGCGAATGTTTGGATGGATGGCTGTTTGTTTGAATTTATCTCCATAATGGCTAAACAGTTCTCGATGAAATTTGGCATACATTTCGAACATAGTCTAAAAATCCCCGTTTCAAACATATTGTTATCTCTGTGTTGTTAAAGATGAATTTTACGATATGTTTTATTCAGGGATTTTGGTATCAGAAATCAACAAGTATTATTAAGTATCTTAACAATCAATCCCATAATTTTTTTTTTTGCATTGAAGAACGCAGTGACATCTGTTGGCATAAATAAATTTAATTTAGAAAATTTTCCTTGACTTATTTCTACCCCACACTAGATGGTGCTAGTGACGCTTTTTTCAATTTAAGTTTTTGCATAGTTATTTAAGTTCGTTTATAGATGGCATAGTACTAAATTTTAAAATAAAACTTTATACTCACTACATACAAAACACTATGCAATTATTAATATTTATATTTTTAAAATTTTATTAGCGGCACGATTTTTATGGCATTCTACTTTTATTATTTATTTAATAATCTTTATTTTTCTTTTAAAATGTTCTACAAATATCA